CCCCAAAACCCCAAAACCCCAAAACCCCAAAACCCCAATTTTCAATAAAATTATTGACTTTTACTTACAAAAATATGAAGGTTTCACCAGGGAACTTTGAAAAGATGGAGAATCGACATAAGGAATATATATCCAAGGTGACTAAACTTACCAACAAGAACTACCTCACTAGGACCAGTATTATGGAACAGATTCCTGTGCCAAATAATTCCTCTAGTTTGATAATTATTCCTAGTAATGAAAAAGGCTCAGGCTTTCTAAGAAATGGTTATGACTATTTCTACTGCTCTAGCTTCATCCAGAAATTCGAGTTTGATCAAACTGTTGGTAAGTATCTACATCTGTGCTTTGATACATTTTAGGAGAAATTAATCCACTTTAACTCTTCTTTAGATGCATTAAACCTACAAATGGCAAAACTTTTCTCAAAATAAGAGGAAAATAGACGAGGCAGAGATCCCAAAATATCAGTGTGTGATGCTGGGAATCTCAGCAATCACTTTATTATTATTTTTAATTATGGTATTCTATGTTCCGAAATATGGAACGCTTTATTCTATAGCTACATTTACAGCCTGAGTTGTTAGTATTCTCCTAATTATAATCATAAGCATCTTAAATGTGCTCGATATTGGACATGAAGACATTTCTTTTGACGACATGGTGCAGAAAGAAATCCCAATATATTTAGATAATATCAATAACTCAAAATTTAGAAAACGAGGATTCGAATGGTAAATATTCAACTTTAGACAGTCATCAAAATTTAGGTATATAATGCCTGGACATTATTGGCTTGAGCTAAGAATCACATCTCGAGCAACTCCTGGACACATTCCGAATCTGAATACACTAAATACTGGTCCAGCAGGTAAGTTTTGATACTATAAAAATCTGATTTCTACAGGTTCTCTTTTAAATTTATGAATTATCACCAACTATATAAATTATTTAGTTAGAATTCACTTAAATTTTGATTTTCGAAATCACTAAAGAATTCTCTCTAATATGCTAAGCTAATAGCTGAGATATATGCTTTATCTACACCACTGGTCTTGAAATTTGTAGAGATTAATCCATACTGAACTTGGGATTTGAAGAAGCAACTTTTTATCCTCCTGGATCGTATATATCGATACTTTTTCCCTAGGTCAGTAAGATGGTGCGGATTAATTTCTGGTAATCAAGAATTTGATAAATAGTTAAGCAAGTGTTTTCATATATTTGATACAAAAGAAATCGTGTAGAAAAAGCAATGAAACATATTTCCTTTAGAACAACTGCAAACAGAAATTCCTTTAAGAGAAGAATTTCATGAAGAAACTAAAGAGAGGTTTATGGAAAGCATGAATAAGAGCAGAGAGAATATTGGAGGTAAGGAAGGATAAATTGAATAAGCTTTGGTATTTTAGAATGAGATTAATAAAAATAAGTATAATTAGATTTCTGGGAAGTATCAGTAAAATGATTTTGCATGCCAAAAATAATTTTGAAAAATCATAAGTTCACCATAAATCAAAATGTGAGGCAGAACAACCCTCAAAATTCCCAATCTCTCACTCTCACTCTCTTTAGACCTCACCAAAATTCTTGAAGACATGAGTATCGATAAGGATCTGCATGCTAAATCCTAGTCTTCAATTTTTTTGCTAAAATCTCTCAATTCCTTCTATTTCCCTCGGGGTTTTGGGGTTTTGGGGTTTTGGGGTTTTGGGG